TCTTTTAACAAATAGGTGTGAAATTAGTATCAAAGGACGGACGGCGGCGGCAGAAACGTAATTGCTTTCTGATATTCGTTTTCGGGGCTTTCGAATGATTTAGTGCGTCGCCCCCGGGGGCGGTTTCTTTCCAACTCGTGTCTCTCGTCTATATAAAGTGGTTCATTAATATATTTACGGGAAAATTGATTTTAATCACCTCGACATTACTCATTTTCTATCACATGAATTATCGCCTTTTCATCGGATTGTGATAAATCAAACACTATTTCACTAATAATACTGCCATCATTTCGTGATCCATTCGCATTCTCAATGCAAACGAAGTTAAAGTTTGTTTGCTTTATTAATTATAACTATGTGCAAAAGTTTGTAAGACTGAATTGGAAATTGTTCATAAATCAAGAAACCATTGGAAATAACAAGAAATATTAATGAGTTTCAAAAATCATTTGGAAATTACTAACAATTTATACAAACTTAAAGAAACTGATGAAAACGTACAAAGTTACTGTAAATTTTCAAAAACTTGATGAATTTTCAATAAACTTTTAAAAATTTAAACAGAGTGATGAAAATGTACAATTTTTTCATGAATTTTCAAGAAACTTGATGAATTTTCTATAAATTTCAACAAACTTATACTAATTTAAACAAAGTGATGAAAATGTACACATTTTTCATGAATTTTTAAGAAAATTTGCTCAGTTTTCAATAAATTTCGACAAATTTAAACAAAGTGATGAAAACATACAAATTTACCATTAATTTTCAAGAAACTTGACGAATTTTCAATAAATTTCAACAAACTTATACTAATTTAAACAGTGATGAAAATATACAAATTTTTTATGAATTTTCAAAAAAATTGATGAATTTTCAATAAATTTCGACAATTTTAAACACAGCGATTGAAAACTTACAAATTTTCTATAAATCTTCAAAAACTTGATGAATTTTCAATAAATTTATACAAATTTCGACAAATTTACACAAAGTGATGAAAACGTACAAATTTTCTATAAATTTTCAACAAACTTTATGATAAAATCAAATTAGATTCTTTGTAATTTTAAGTTTGTAGAACTTGTAAAAATTTACACAAAATGAGAAAAAAATAATTGCAAATGATAGAAAAATGAAAAATTTTATAAAAACAATTAGAAATAATCAAAAATTCTACAAAAAAATAACAAAAAATCAAATAAAATTGCAAGTTGATAAACAATTGAATATGTAATTTTGTAAAAACAATTGAAAATTGCAAATCAAATATGTTGATAAACAAACAACTGAACGGCAATTTTGTAAAAACAATTGACAATTGCGAAAAATTTAAGTTGAAATTAACAAAAATCAAATATTGAATATATTGAAAAAGTCACATTGAAATTATCAAAAAGTGGATTAGAAAAATTCAATATAAAATTATCAAAATTTTAATTGGAAATGAAATAAAATGTTTCTAATTTTATAGAAATCATTGGAAATTATAAAAATCGAATACATTGAACAAATTAACACGGAAATTAAGAAATATTCAATGGAAACAAAGTAATAAAAACTTACTAATTTTCCATATATTTTTTAAAAACTTGATCAATTTTCAATAAATTTCGACAAATTTACACAAAGTGATAAAAACTTACAAATATACCATACATTTTCAGTAAATTTCGACAAATTTAAACGAAGTGATGAAAACTTACAAATTTTCCATAAATGTTAATTGGAAATGAAATAAAATGTTTCTAATTTTATAGAAATCATTGGAAATTATAAAAATCGAATGCATTGAACAATCAATTCAAAAGTACCAAAAAATTGAAAAAATAGACCTGGAAATTAATAATATATTTGGAAACTACAAAAATCAATAATTTTTTACTAAAAAACAAACAAAAATTACCAGAAAATCTACATTTGAAACTTTATTTTCATTTTTTGTTCAAATTTTTAGAAAATTTAATGAAACGAAAACTTACTTCAAGTCTTTACAGACATTTGTATACACTTATGCACAAATATGTATAAAATTATAGAAAAATATAATTAAATTGCACAAAACCTATAGAAACTTAACAAAAAAGATTAATTTCTATAATAGTAGACACGTCTAATTAATAAACATTGACAAAAATTATACTTTTTTGAGCGTTAAAACAAATTGCAAATAATGAATGAGATTAGTTGAGTGTTCGAACAATAGCAGTAATTTTGATTTAATCGCTCCGCAATATATGCAAATAAGCAATTAAGCAAATCAGTTTAGATCGGATCTCGGATCCGATCGAAGTCGAAGTGCCCATCATTGTCTATCCACATTACAACAACGCGGCAAAGTTTCAAAACGAAACTATTCAATCGATCGAATGAATAGAGAGACGCACGCTATTAATAATAACAATAATTATATAATAATAAACTAATATCAATATCTAAACAATCCGTTTTTCCCTCTATCTATCGTTGCATAGAGCTCGAACAATAATTTCAATCGGAATGCATTGCAATTTTATAATAAACATTGGCTGCTCGGGTCGTCGGGGTCAAACCATGGAACAATATTGCCTATAATCATGCACAGTGCAAGATTAATAATGCTCAAAGAGAAGAGAGGAGACGCGAATGGAAACACGGCTCTTGTTGCTGAAGAGTACAAAAAAAGAAAAAGGAAAGAAATGAAGATGAAAATCCGAAATCAATAGTCGATTACGTGTAGAAAGTTATTATTGTATTCTATGCTTAATTGATTCGAAATCTTTGTGTTTTTTTTTGAGTATTTATTAATGAATCCAAGAGATGGTTTTGGATTTAGCAAAAACATCATCTTTTTGGTTGCGTGCGCTCTTTTCACCGCTTATTATTATCACCGCGGGATCCGTCCTCCGCGCAACCGAAACGTTTATTCACATCGCATCTTCCATTCTTCGTCGTTTGTTTGTTTTTTTTTTAATTATTATCAACGCTAATTGCATTCAGCAATTCTCATCGCGATGCCGATTCGAACGCTAAACTCCTATTTGCATAGCAATTACTCATTTGCTCTGCGGGGAAAACGCGAGCCATCAAAAAGCTCGACACGACACGAGACAGGACGTCTTCTCGCCAGAAACCGGAGGAGTTTGAAATGGAAAGTTCATTTGTTTCTATGCAAAACAAAACAAAAAACAAAAATATCCGACGTTTCGTTTTTGTTGCCTCCACGGATTGATTGATGTTATTTAATCGTTTCATTTAATTGCCTCAGTTGATGAACAATTTATATTTTAAGCTTTAACAAGAAAAGAAATACAAATAAATTTATAGAAACTTTTAAAACTTGTATAAATTCATGTAAACTTATTAAGTAATTTAAAATTTGTTAAAAATACATCAAGTTTTTGAAAATTTAAACTGGTTTATGTATTACAATTTCTTACTTTTCGTTCATTATAGTTCTTTGTAAATTTGATTGCTATTACATCATAATCAATATCTTCATATCCGACGTTTCGTTTTTGTTGCCTCCACGGATTGATTGATGTTATTTAATCGTTTCATTTAATTGCCTCAGTTGATGAACAAAAGAAAGCTTTGCAATTTATATTTTAAGCTTTAACAAGAAAAGAAATACAAATAAATTTATAGAAACTTATGCTAAAACTTGTATAAATTCACAAATTCGTGTAAACTTATTAAGTAATTGAAAATTTGTTAAAAATACATCAAGTTTTTGAAAATTTAAACTTTTTTATGTATTACAATATCTTACTTTTCTTTCATTATAATTCTTTGTAAATTTGATTGCTATTACATCATAATCAATATCTTCATATCCGACGTTTTGTTTTTGTTGCCTCCACGGATTGATTGATGTTATTTAATTGTTTCATTTAATTGCCTCAGTTGAACAATTTATATTTTAAGCTTTAACAAGAAAAGAAATACAAATAAATTTATATAAACTTAGGCTAAAACTTGTATAAATTCACAAATTCATGTAAACTTATTAAGTAATTTAAAATTTGTTAAAAATACATCAAATTTTTGAAAATTTAAACTGTTTTATGTATTACAATTTCTTACTTTTCTTTCATTATAATTCTTTGTAAATTTGTTTCCTATTACATCATAATCAATA